GCCCGAGAAGAGGAGGGCAGTCATAGCAGAAAAGTGTAAATCGATATATGTGCAGCCGACACTGAATGCCAACGTGTCACCTGAAAATCGCTAAGCGATCCCGTTGCTATTTAGCCTGTGTGGCAGTAACCGGCGGTAAACGGCCATTATTCCTACCTGAAACCGGTCTGGAATGCGAACCGCTTTTGACACAAACAGCACACATTGCTCCGTGACACCCACACATGTGAAGAAGCTCATTACAAACAGCATTCATTTAAAACACTTGTGTTTTACTCCAATAGTTTGGTCACGGTCACTTCATCTGCAACTCATTATGCCTTCAATGATTTCGTTAACCGAAATTGCTGGGCCTGACAAGACTAAAAGCATGAACTCATGCTTCATCCTGCTTCAGTGGAATCGGTCTCGACTCTGACTAACATAGTTGTTATTCTGAGTAACATCGAATTTGGCAATTCTGTCTCCATCTCACCCTATAATTTTCAAGGAATCTACTACACCCGACTGAAGGAAAATCCCCTTGAATACGGACCTAAGTTCGACTCCAACCCAAGCCATACACAGATCTGCGACAGGTAAAATGAAGTCTCCTCAACTCAAATAAAAGGCTAACTTTCCAACGGATTGACCCAAGTCACTGATAGGGGTTTCCAACAGTGCTCCCAATGATGACATTGCATTGGCTTATATTTAAGCATCATTCACGATAACTGATAACTCCCACTTCTGGCATCGCCTCGCTCGTTCCACGCAGCACAAGGCGCCTTAATGGCATTATATATTTTCTTATGCAGATTCTTCTGCATGCAAGTAAACTTTTGAGTTACAAGAATTTAGATAAATTATAATCATTACAACTACTTTTTCATGAGTGAGGGAATAATTCCTAGACTAATTGTTAACGATTCCATAAATAAACCTAAGACAGTTTCACTACTCTCTTTCCTTAATCCACGGTTGATATCCTGATATAATTGGGATGCGTCACCATTCAACACTTGACCACCAAATGCAAAACTATTTCTATACTGAAGTCTCTGACCCATATCCAATGAACTTCCCGCTTAGGTACTGCAATGCATAAAGTTCCTGTACTATTCCTCCCTAAGCTCCTTTGCAGATAACATTGAACAAAAAGTGGCCTTTGCATTTTGAGAGTATGCATTAATTCAATGCAGGAAAAATATTAACTTTCAGACTGCTGGTCCTGTTAACGCCAGTATTGTCAGGCATAGACCTAATTCAATACCAAACATTAGCATGCGTGCACATACCTAATCGTGGGTTCACGTTTACGGTGCTTCATGACTTGGTCCAATGGGACCAAATTGATTAACGCAAATTGCAAGTTGGTATATGATGACGGAAGAATAACGCTGTCAGACTAAAGTTGACCGGGCCCTCTTTGATAGAACTAACGACAAGCGATGAGTTAAGCCCAGTTTATCCTATTTTCAATGCATTTAAGATTTGGTACCAAATTAGGACACTATCTGATAATGCTGGCGTGTTAAGGCGTACTATGCCTCAAAAGCTTGGGAAACTACAGCAGGAAAATCCGAGCACGTTTTGAGACCTCTCGCACAGGACTGCATTAAAATTTAGTTTGCGTGATATGCAACACCACTTGCAATGTAACATGTAAGTAGACTAATGACGGGTGCTGAGTCCAAGATCCCGCTGCTTCTCTGGTCCTCATGTGTTTGGTCACATCACGAGCTTCAGTGCGTGCCTGCTATGTGTCTTGAGCGTTTAATGCGAGGCCCAAACCAGCCTCCTAAAACTCGATGAAGTGCAATATTTTACGAGCAAAAGTCCTCTCACCAGCTCGTGGAATTTCTACAGC